TTTTGCAGCGCAAGTTTTGTCGCGTAACACTTATGTCGTGTACAACTATTGGCAGTAGAAGTAATCTAGCGCTCCTACCGGTAGAAGTTTTGTTGTGGTACTAGTGTTGTGGAACCGTCCGGAACAATGTAAGTTGAACTATGTTTGCTGGAAAACGGTGGGAAAAGATGGACTCGGCTGGTTTCCATGGCAAAACGAAATATTCCAAATGTTTTCCGGTGAAGCTCTTTTGCTGGACGTGGTTTGTATGCCCTTCTTTCAACAGCCACTTTCTTCCCGCCTACATGGCGGCTGGCGAGAAGGCCAACCCCCTAACCGTTCACTGTTTACATCCCACCAATAGCGCATCCTGATAAACAATCACAACGTCTGTTTGTTGTCTTTGAGCAGATGATCTGCCGTGGGCTGCAATGTCGCTCTGCCATAATCATCATGCAATATTTTGGGGGAACCAGCGATCGCATGTTGACACGGGGCTGTTTTAGCACATTGAAAGCCCTCATTCGTAATTGGTATATGGTGTTCAAAATCCTACAACCATTCAACGCGACCATGGACTTGACGGTGGTAAATGCCGTCTTCCGTGCGTCAGGATCTCATAGGTCTTACAAAAACAGTCTGGTGCTGGTGTGAAGTGCTGACCGCGTGTTTTGCATTCGGGATCAAATAGAATTCATTTGCGCATAATATCTTGTTGGTGATGAAGCTCCACACCCTAGTGCTGTTTATATTAACGACAGGTCCTGACAGTTCACTAGATCAAATCTTTGAAACGTGTGCTAAAGGTTAGACACAGGCGACCCACTCAATCCACTCTTTAAAGCTGCTTTCTGAATTGAATGATGGATGCCAAGCTCGCAAAAACGCAGCCATGCATGGGTGCACCCAGCAGATGGGGTGAAGTCTGGGTCATCCCACCACATTAGCCGGACGCGTGGCTGGGATGTGGTCATTCTGGCACTTGGGCTAGTTTTTGATGGTTCCCTCCTAGAAAGTAAAATAGTTGGCAGATGTGTCACTTTGTCATGTCATTACATGTAAGTAATATGCCTTGAGCATGCGCTGTAATTCCTCTCCTAGGCCCTAAATTGCCTGGTCCAAAATTTGGTTCATATCTGTTCTTGCACTGGCTGACATTAAGACCATTCCGCTGCTTGTCAGTCAAGCCTGTGGTCGACTCACATACATACAAATGATAACATGGAGAATAGATAAAAAGAACCCAGTGGTAAGCTTTTAGTTTGAGCCTACCAAACGCAGTGCAGCAAACAATGCCTTTCCTGTGACCTGTTACCGACCAGCTCTCTCAAGTCTCAGCTATATGGCTAGCATATTCTGCCTGGCACCTATGAACCAGGCCCATTAGTTTTATAGCATTCAGTGTGGACCAGACTGCACTTAACCTGATATTTGGCAATCTGCCCCGGCCAGGTGCCACCCAAGTGCATTCACATGAAGATAATCTCATTTTCATTGGCCAGTATCAGTCATGCCGTCCGCGATGGAATCAGAATATCAACTATTTAACATCAGATTGCAGCTCATGTAATAGCGATAAGCTAACATCAGTTGCAAACATGATACGACCTTATGTACTTCCGTATTACTAATAACACTTGCATTTTTCACAAGCCTCACAAACAATCTCAGCAAAATCCAGTTCACTCGGCCCGCACCTGACTGAACAAAAGATAGGCTAACCTAAGCGCCGACTGTCGTTTCCACCAGGATACCTTACACTCATCTCATCAAGCCACTCTATGATGGCTTACGAGTCAGAACAGGTTTCCACGCTGCGAAGAGATTAGTGCTGTGCGCCCCTTTACACGCATTCCAAGACGGCTCAATGCGGAAGCGAAATTCTCACAAGTTGCGTATTGTTTGGAAATAGTTATTGATGATATCCCTGGGAGGTCATGTGCGACATACAATACGCATATGAGGCAAGACGACCATGCTGTTTATTTCATATAGTCTCGGTAAATACATGCTTATAACAGTTCAAGTAATAGTGAATAAGGGGTCAGGAATGGATTAGTTCATTGTTGTGACAAATGATAGTTAAAAATATGACTATCCCTTTCATTTTATAGGTAGTGGAGAACTATATACTGATTTTAGGGCAAGATATAGGAATGTATGATGTCTGCATCATGCAATACTCTCTGGTTTCTGGCTGAGATTTGGCAAACTCTTGTTCAAGATGACCAACATTTTTTATGCTTAGAAATTACAATAGTAAACTTTGTGCTGATATGAAGAAAAGTTTTATAACTTATGCTGCATGCTGTACTTTCAAACACTCTGAAATGGTTTGTTAATTTGCATGGGGTTTGCTGTGTTTTCTCATGTCACTACTTTATTTTGATCCATATGACTCACTGGCACAACATTATTAGTAATGATTGACTCACGATTCAGCCCAATAAATTTATTAAAAATGTAATTGAGCTGATGACTCGAAACGCTTTTTTTCTAGTGAATCGATCCAACTCACGACTCATCCCAAAACAACTGACTCATGTGTCGATTCATGATTCAGCTCGAGTCGAACTGAAGGCTGCTGTCAGTTGGGGCACGAGACTGGCAACCACGAAGGGAGCAGCAGCCAGCAAAACACCTCACTCCCGGCCCAACCATTCGCCTGTAACTGCAGACCACAATTAGCAGAGCCTTAGCTGCTCTGCCGGGGCGTCCATCCAACACGAACTCCCCGGAAGCAATACCGTCCGCGCTATTTACCTAGCGCAATATGAGCGCATTGTCAGCGATGACGTCACAGCATTACCGTCGTTGGCCGGCCGGACCTGAATAGCGCGACAGCTCGGGCGGCGGCCGGCCGGCCCAGCCCCGCCCCCTGTTGACACTCGGGCACGTGGGCCTGTTGGCTGTCGCCTTTTTACAGGCGTCGCGTAATCCTTTGCCGCCGTCGTCGCCAGCTAATCCATCAGCGGGTCCCAAACAAATTCAATCATCGCGCCCGCGCCATTGTGCGCCACGCGGCAGATTTCGCTCAATCATTCTTATGTTAAAAAAACGAGCAACCCGCTCAAACAGCGTTGACATGACCCAAAAGAGTTGGCGCGTTCAAATTCAAAAGGCCGGCGCGAATTCATCAAACGTATCGCGCGCCGCCGGATAATGGTGACATGGGCGCGATGACGAACCAAATCTGCCGGCTGACGGATCATCAGCGGCGATGACACGGCGATCGTCGGCGCCGACGCGGGCGCCGGGAGGCCGAGAGGCCGCTGTCGGCTCACATCAGGCGTCCCGGCGGCAGCTCCACGCGCCGTGCCGTGTTTTCTTTGCGTCGACAGTCGCACGGGTGGTGTTTGCTTAACGAGGCACGTGATTGCCTGCGCCGACAAGGAGGAATGCGACGAATTGGGATTGTTGCCACCTGCGCGACCGGTAAACATCAGGGGCGTCTTTCAAAGGGAATCCAGTGCCGCATGCGGGGTCTTTCGATGCGTGCTGTGGGATTTCGTCGCACGGAGCACGAACAGAGGCGTGGTAAGATAGCTTTAAAGCACATTTATCGTCATGTGTAACATGCTGGAAATCCAATTTTGTCAACCGAACTGAAAAGCGAATAGAAACAGGTTTCGTGGTAATGAATGTTTCGTAACTTGCATTCGAAATGTATTGTACCCCATTGGTTCTTGGGATCATTTTTAAGAGCGGTATCATTTTTGTTTTATATCAACTGGCAGCTGACCAACCATGACGTTGGCCACAAAGTTCCTTCATCCAAATGAAGTGCACAGGGTGGCCAGGGGGGTACAGTCAGTGTAAAGCTAACGCCTCCTTTCGCACTGGAAACTTTAGGAGATAAGGTGAATCTGTCAAGGAATGATTCAGATTAAAAAAAATGTACCCAAGTGATACGCTGCGGGGCCCATTTATCTTAAATTTTGAAGCCCATCGTACTTTTAGTTGTGTCTTACGCAGTAAGATACAATTATTTCTGCATTTGCTCAGGGCAAAGGGAATGAATATTACTCGACTTCATGACGAAGCACAGTTAACCCCGGTAAACATCACTGACTAACATTTACATTTGAAGTTTGTTCAATATTTACATGTGAGGTTCGTTTCAGTTCCTCGGCTGAAAACGATCACCAAGCTGTGTTAGCTTTGAGGCATTGGCAGATTTTATGCACATTGCGGCTAGAGAATAATCTATGTCGAAGAACATATCTCGCTGGTTTTATCGATCTCACACCAAATAAGCGTATTTAGAGGTGTAGGTGCAAAGAAAGGCCAGGGGCTGCCGCTTCCGTCGCTACCACGCAACAGAAGCGGCGGTTTGGTCACCGGCAGGTTTAGTTCCGCACGTCCCACGGCGTGCCTGGCCTCGGGCGAGCCGCCCCTGAGAGCACCCGCCACCCCGGCCGGGCCTGGCCTGGCCGCCGCGGTGCAGCCTTTTTACGGGCGTCGTGTGTGTGTTTACGCAGGCCCCCTGTAATATCTGGCCGGCGCAGCGGCTCTGATTTGGCCCGGCCGTCGCGGCGCCGCGCAAAAAGCGGAGGCGGGGAAGCGCTCGTGACTGGATGTCGCCGGTGCCGCCGCCGCCGGACGGCTCTGTTACGATGCCGCCCGTGGCCCGCCGCCGCCCCACCGCCCCGCCGCCCCGGTCGCCGCTCCGACGCCGCCGCTGCCGCCGCCGCCACTACCGTCGTGCCGCCCCACTGCCACCCAGCCGACGCAACCGGCGCACCCCTATCAGCCCGAACGTGTCGTCAACGGCGCCCGAGCGCCTCTCTCCTCAATCGATTCGACCGTTTCAACATAAAACGGGTAAAAGTCGCGCGTAAATCGTGACTGGCTATAGGATTGCCATCGGCCGTTTGTCATGTGTGTCGCGCTGTGCGCGCTTGCCGCCGCCCGCCGGGCCGTCCTGTGAAATTGCCAATTTTCTCCAATTTTAACCCTTTGTAAGCCGGATTAAAGGGCAATCGGTGCCAAAAGGGTTGGGGGACGAGGGAAACAGCTCATTGTAATGGCGCGTTCAGTTTATTGAAAAGCTTATGTTGCACGGTAGTCACAAACACCTGGCTCGGATGGGCTGCTTTGACACGGGAAAGTCCTATCGGAATACGGGGGAGAAGCAAGGGGTTATCGTAGTCCACGTGCCAGGTGTCAACTGAATGGCTGTGAAGACGTGTGAAGCTGGGTTTAGCGCACCAACACTCACCATCTGAACTGAACGGCGGCTAAAATCAGATAGTTGAACAACGACAGCCCCACCCTGAACATGTCGTCCCTGTTCAGGTTCATCTGTTCGGCGAGGTTGACGTTGATGACGCCGGAGAGGGCCAGCATGGTGACGGCGGCGGCGATGCCGAACATGTTGCCGTGGAGGAAGCAGAGGATGCCGATGGACAGGCTGGAGCTGAGTACCACTAGCTCCGTCAAACGGTTTCTGTTGGGGATGGAGCCGGCCAGCCAGGCGAGGATTGGAGGACAGGCAGTTAAAGCATGGCCGTAGCCGCAATACTGGCCCGTGAAGTGTAGATGAAAGTTTCCGGCCAGGAAAGGCAGTCCCAAGGCGCCCGCAAGCCATGATGTGATGTCTCTTGCCTTGCCCAGATCTGTGTGTGCGCCGGTTACTGGAATCATAGGACCGCTGGGTAAAATATTTTTTTAACGTGCTGCGTGACATTTTGACGTGCACGTGACGTGACAACAACGTGACACTATGGTTATTATTTCATGTCATGAAAGCTTTTCTAAAGCATGCTTAGTGCTTGGTTTCTTTTATATTTCCCTGAAATGAGGTCTCTTAGTTTATAGCAAGATACGAGTAACGTCTATTTCGCTGCATATTAGTGCATGGCCATATGGCCATATGCGAGTCACATCTATTTCGCTACAACTGTTTGCACCTACACACACACACACACACACACACACACACACACACACACACAGAGACACACACACACACACACACACACACACACACACACACACACACACACACACACACACACACACACACACACACACACACACACACACACACACACACACACACACACACACACACACACACACACACACATATATATATATATATATATATATATATATATATATATGCATATATATTTATATATCGTTATAATGTACCTTCGTATTCTGCTAACACTTCCGTCCATCATACCAATGTGGTCTTTAACTTCTCCACATGAGCGCACAGCCCATGGCTGGAATCATCAGCACGACTGCTGTTCAAGACCAGCGATGCACAAAGACAGTCTGAGCATGGCTTATCCAGGCGGGATACAAAACTTACCAAAAAGAATGAGCAGGCATATGGAATGGAGGGAGACCAGAATGTACCAGGCGAGGCCGATGGTGAATTTGTGCTCAAGCTCCTTAATGGCCCATCCTGCCGTGCCGAGCAAAAGAGATGCAGTAATTGCATGGATTACACGACTATTTGGCATTTCGGTTATCTGTTAGTTTGTGCGCCAAAATAAAATGAGGCCTAAATTGGATACCAGTTTGTGCTAAACAATGAAATTTATTGTAGTTAAGTAACATCCCTACCTCGAGACCAAAAAAGGCAGCTGACTTCCACATGTGAGTGGTATTTTTGACAAAGCAAGCACTCGTTTCTCGGGAACCTTCAATTAGAGAAATTCAGACTAACGCGTTGCGCGGCACGCTGTGTTTCGTTATTCCAACGTAAACAGTCGAAACATTAGACGACGTGAATTATGCTAAACAAAACGACGAGATGCATTACCTATAGCTTAGCGATGTAAGCTCCTTTGAGCTACGCCGACAGCATGGCTGAAAAAGATCATCGGTAGCAATTGGAGAGACCCCTAATATGCTTCAGGGAGTCCAAGATACCCTTATAGCTGCGACATACACGCCTGATCACATGATGGCGCAGTGATACAGCCTTTTAACAAAACCCGCTAGGCTTGCTCCCAATAAAACAGCACTTACCGGAAAACCTCCATCGTTACGACTGTCCTGACTGCGCCAGTCCTCGTCATCAAAGCTGGTGCGTGTGAGATCGGGGAGCATTTGGATGTAATTACCATAATCAACGCCATTCTCACGGACAGATGGTGTTGTGGGGCGGGCAGGCTGTCCTGGCGTGCGGCCCACGGGCTTGATTTAAAGAGTCGTCAAGAACTGTCCAAATAAACAGCCGAGATGGGATTTCAGCCTTCTTGTTTGATCCTGGACGTTTTAGGGCAGTATAAATCGACACGGCTTCCCCGGCTAATTCCTGCCATAAATTCTCCTACGTTATACTCCAGCACGGAGGTCCCGGCGAGTCGGGTCAGAGGGGTCCGGTACCGAATATATTAAGCGCTATAAAAGAGAAAATCAAATAAAGGGGAGATGAGACGTGCGATGGCATAATTAACGGGGACAGGAAGGGCGCTATAGACGGGCCGATTCACCGGCGGATTAACCGGCATTGAAACAGCCGACGCGATTACCGACACTGCTCAGTGTGGCGCTCTTCCGCTCGGGAGAAGCTGTCGGGTGCATCACTCCGCCCCGGCAGCGAAGCTACGCTCGCCAGGCGATCGGCGGCGCACTGGTGAACGCTCTCTCCTCCCACCAAATGAAGAGCTCGTGGCGACGGGGTGAGGCGCCCGTTCCCGGTCGGCCTATTTACACTTGGCGGCACAGGAATTTTTAGTACACAATTTACTGGATCGCGCCAGTGTAAAAAGTCGTCAAGGTGTGACGGCGGCGCATTGAGCCGGGCTGAGCGCCCGTCCAGGATCACGTCATAAATCAGTCAGCGATCGCGGCTGTATCCAGGGTCTGTCAGCTGACAGCAGGCCTCACCTCACTCCCTCCCTCCCTCCTTCTCGCCCCCTCGTCCCTGTCTTTCGGGGTTGGGTACAGGACATGTGAGAAGTGTAACACACGCAAAAGGAAAGCAGTATGTGTTGGTAAGGAAAAAGAACAATGAGCGAACCCGATGAAATAAATTAAGTGCTTTTAGCCCCTGAACACGTCCATTCTGTAGAAACACTTGAAAAAACAAGGACCAAGTTTCATAAACAGCCAGCCGGCACTTCCCATACATGTCTCTGTCTGCCTGTTTATATTTTTTCATCGCCCGCCTTACCCGTGCTGTTTTTCTGTGCCTGAGCCGGCTACCCAGGCCGCTGCAGCCGTACCCAGCGTGGGGTGGCGCTGCGCGTCACGTGTCCTCCGCGCTGCCAGCCGGCCCAGCCAGCCGCCACCGATGCTGCGCGTCACGTGTCCTCCGCGCTGCCAGCCGGCCCAGCCAGCCCCCACCGGTGCTGCGCGTCACGTGTCCTCCGCGCTGCCAGCCGGCCCAGCCGGCCGCCACCGGTGTGACACGCACTGTTTGTACAGGCGTTATCGATTTAAATGCGCCGCTCAGGTGTGAAGCGAGTCGGAGGCGTCGCCAAATGACATGTCGCCCCGCCGGAGGATGGGCTCCATGAGGCAGCGCCCCGGTCGGGTCCGATGAGGCGCGGCGGGTGGGGCCGGCGCCGCGCGGCCGCTGCCCAGGCGGAGCGGGTCCGCCGACCGGCGGTGACCACACCTCCCTGGCTTACTGAGGCTCAGTCGGACGTGGTGCTGTGCTCCTGCAGGAGTCCTTGGCAGCCTTCTAAATGCGTTTATATCCGGAATGAGCACGTACTCGTACGTATGAATATTCCATACGTCCCAAGGCCAGCATTCCAGCGCGTTGCAATTAGACAACCACTGCATATGCGATAAATCATTCTGAAATCACGCTATTTTCCGGCTGGTAACAAGGAGTCACACACAACAAATGCTCATGGCGTCGGACCCAGTGAGCCGAGCGGTCCCGGAGACCTCGGGCAGCAGCTCGCCCCGGTGGCGGTCATGCCCCGCCGACGACCGCCGCCACCTCTCTCCAGCGAGCGGGAGCAGGGCGGAGCCGGGACGCCCAGGCTGTCCCGGGGTCGGACCGGGCGGCCGGTCCGGCTCTCCGCCGCAGAGCGATGACGGGCCGGGGCGGGGCAGGTGGTCTGCCGGACACGTGGCACGCGCCCCGCCCGAGCGCCGCCGTGACGGAGGTGACGCGCCGCGCACGCTACGGGGGCGCTGCGGTCACGGGTGCCGTGACTGTTGACCTCTGCTGACGCCTGCGACAGCACAGTGCACCCCGACCGTCCCGGCGCCCGCCGGCGCGAACGACCTTCCCGTGCCCTCGCGGCCGCCCTGTGTCCTTGCACCGATGCGTAGGCGTGATTTGGTGCATGTTCGCAAGCGGTTCTGGAGTTATGGTGGTATGTTGTTTCCTCACATACACATTACAACCAAAGTGCAGTCGTACATCACCATTATACGCATTCCAGTAGCACTAAATGGTAGAAGAATGACGCGGGTTTCCGAATGTCCCCGGATGGTGGTGCGCACTTGACAGTGTAGTACTCTGTCACTTGGCTTTGGTTTCGAGGCAGGCTTTCTGTTTTGTGAGCATAGTCAGCTTGTGGAAATTCGCATTGAAATAACTCACGTGATCCAAGTTTCCAAAAAAGATTATTTATTTTTGCAGAAAACGATCCCCGGCTGAAAAAACGAGCCCTGTTGAATGCATCACGCAGCATACCTACGGCCTCCGCATAGCACATTGAACACACTTTGTGTGATACCAATATATGTGTGCGGCGACCAGTGCTCCGTATGGCATAAAGTGCGCGCAGAGCTGTGTTCTGCCGTGCGAAACGGCGCCACCCACAGAGCACCATGAGTCCTGCCCCAGAACACATTGCCCGGATGACGCCGCTTTCGCATTCCGAGGATGATGTCAGTGCATCGGCTGTTTGGCAATCCTGTTCTAAAACAGGCGAGGAATGTAAAGCACGACAGAATCCGAAATGGCATGCTGCACGCAAGACGCATGCGCTAAGGCAGTGATACAAACGGTGATACCGGCGGTGATGTGGACGGTGATACCGGCGGTGGCATTGATACGGACGATGATACCGGCGATGGTATTGATACAACCGGTGATACCCGGTATGGTAGTGATACAGACGGTGATACCGGTAGTGGTATTGGTACAGACGGTGATACCGGCGATGACACGACCACGTGCAGAGGCTTGTTGCGGCGTCACAGATGATGATACGGGCTACGAAACGAGTGGCAAAAAGGACAGGGACACGGCCGAAGACACGGCCAGACACGGCCGATGCCATGGACGGTGACACGGGTGGTGACACGGCTGTTGACACGGGTGGTGACTCGGGTGGTGACACGAGCGGTGACGGTGACTTGGGCGGTGACTGAGCGGTGTCCTAAGCGGTGACTCGGGCGGTGACTCGGGCGGTGCCACGAGCGCCGCGCGGCCCGTGACGGCGCACATGGCCAATAAACCGATCGGCGTCCGTTTGGCAGGCGGACGTTTAGGTCCGGAAGTTCTCACGCCTCGCCGGTGACATAATGACACCACCGCGGCGAGTGGACGGACGGACGGACAGCGCGGAGCCGCGGTGTCGCACTGTCCGCCCAGCTGGGTGGCGTGCCGCTCGGCTGGGGCCGACACGGAGCACGCAGACCGGCGCGGGCTCGGGCTCAACCGTCGGCCCTTGCGGCCCTACTAACGGGCGGGGAGCAGTGCTGGACTGGTCACAAGGCCGGCTAAGCTATGTAGGTCGTCACAACGCCACGGTGTTCCGTTCTCAGCCGGGCGAGGTGCCGCAGTGCCAGTGCGGGAGACTGGCAGGGGCGTGGCGCGGTGTTTTGGTTTGAGTCGGAACATTGACAAGGTGATCTGAAGAGGTTGCCCTGATCTGAGGGAGCACGCCGACACATCGATTTGATGGGACGGCTCTGAAAGAGCGATGGACCGTCTGTCACGTATGATCTAATCTGATCTGATCTGATCTGAGAGGATGTATTTGAGAGGAGACATGTAGAGCCCCCCTCGTAAGCGGTCCGAAATACAAGAGCTGGAGCGGGACCAAGAGCTACACCTGTATCTCAGCGTGATCTGATCTGCTGTTGATCATTATGTTCACTGGTTCTCAACGTAACTAACACACAGCAAGGATTGCCCAGTCATGCTTTGTCATGCTCGTATGGCACACTCAGACCCATTGCGCAGTACTAGTGTGCATGTGGTGACCAGGATGCTGTATTGTGTAAGGTTTGCACAGAGCAATACCCTCCGCGGACAACTACGACCCACATAACGTAATAGACATCACAGACATACATCATCAGCATCTGTATATCCATCAGCTAACTGCCGAAGGCGCACGTCTTGGGCACAACCTCTGCAACCATCAGCTGTCTCCTGCCCTCGCCTCCGGCACCTGCAGGCCAGCCTGGCCGGCGGCGCCCCGGCCCGTCCGCAGCCGTACACATCTGCGACCGGCCGTCACCTTGAGCACGAGCTCCTCGCCTCGCGGGGGCCAACGCCGCGCCCAGCCGGCCAGATGAGGCCGAGACGCGCCACGCCGCCGCCGGATGGAAATTCCTATTGCTCATGCGGTTCCGGCGCGGCCGGCGGCCGTGCAACAAAGCCGGCCCCGCGCCACTGAGTCAGCGCGCAGGCAGTTCCTGAGAGGC